ACACACACACACACAGAAATGAGTCTCACACACACATATTTTAATTTCCATTTATAAGCTCGTCAGATAAAACCAACAGTTGGATGATTTTATTGTTTCTTTGTGTTCGGTTGATAAACAGGAAACAACCTGTCGTTCTCTTGCTGTGGAAACATTCAGACAGACAGGATAAAGCGTCTGTCTGTCTGACGTGTTGGCTGTAGAATCCGTCAGTATTGCAGCAGCTTGTGTCCAGGTGCCCTCGAGCAAGGCACTGTGCTGCAGACTCAGCGCCTGAGTCGGAGGAAGAAGGCGTGGCGGCACTCGGTGCTGTCCACGGGATAATATTTATCGTAGAAGTCCAGGATGTATTCCTCCGCTTTGAAACCAAACTTCTGATACAGCAGCATGGCGGGATTACTGGCCGACACGTGCAGCGTCACGTCTTTCCCCATACACGTCTGAAACACAACATCTATTACTCATTCACTCCAGACCTCGTCTCCATACTGTCGGACCTCGGGAGACTCACCTGGATCAGATGGTAGATCATGAAGGTACCGATGCCGGCTCTCCTCCACTCAGGATGGACCAGCAGGAAGGAGATGTAGGCCTCGTTGTACTTCACGTCTGGAACCATGAAACCAAAGCCGACTACGACTTTCTTATAAAGGACGACCACGCTGAAGTCCGGGTACTGGAGACACTCTGACAGGTCCACACCTGGAGGGGAACAGAACACACGGTGGGTCTGGACCCACAGATTCAGGGTAGGATGGTTCTTTAGAAGGAGTCTGTGCTACCTGGCCAGAAGCTGTCGTGACACATGGCGTTCACTGATCGGATGTGGTTGGGACGGACGTAGCAGTAGTCGATGGGGGCGTTGGGCTCAGGGACCCAGTCAGGGTTCTTCCTGTGAGGGTACGACCGGATCTCTGCCAACAACCTCAACTTCACTGGACGACTCTCATAATCCCTCCTGAACAGACACAGAGAAATACTAATACTAATAATACTAATATCATTACTAATACTACTATTACTAATATTACTAATATTACTAATACTAATATTACTAACGATGATAAATGTCCAGAGGTAGGGAAGGTTTGAGGACCGGTTTACCTGATGTAGGGTTTCAGGATGCGGGACGTGTACGGACTCTTGATGCTCTGGTCCAAACTGCCCTCGGCTCCCATCAGACGATGCCAGAAGGATACAGAGTGCTGCTGGACGCCCCGCCTGCTAGAAAGGTTGGTCTGTACACAAACACATTACATCATCAGTGGTTCGCTCAGCGCTGTCCGACCCGTTACCGCTGCGTGTTCCCGTATACGACTATAAGAGCAGAACAACAGCCCCAGGTGGGTAACAGTGGGAGGAATCAGATAGACCGTGTTACCTGGAAGCGATCGAGGATACGCAGCTCCTGGCTGTTGGTGCAGTATTTCCCCATAATTCCACCTTGCATCAGTGTCCCACCCTCCTGGGCGCCGTAGATCCCTCCCACCAGGCTGAGGGTGGCGCTGACGGCCCGGTCGATGTCCAGCAGGGGGAGCCCTCTCTGCCTCTTGGCCTGGCGGACCAGTAGTTTCCTGTGGAGGCGTTTGGCCTGCGGAGTCACGGCCAAGGCCAGCGGGCAGGCGTCCAGCCGTCGCAGCAGCATCCTCTCCTCGTACAGACTGAGCAGGGCGAAGCGAGGAGTCTGGGAGACGCCGCCAGCCCCGTCTGCTTTCTCAGGATGAGTTATCCTCCTCCGCTCAGGTCCTCCGGCACCAACACACCCCCCAGTGGAGAGAGACGGACCTTCACCTCGTCCAACTGGCTCTTCAAAGTCGTCCTCGCGGTCACGGCCTTCATCGTCCTCGCTCTCTGCCTCACGTTTAATGTGAGGGGGGGCTATGCGGAGCTTTTTGCGGGCGGCGAGGTTGGAGCTGGGAGGAGGGATGTACTCCATCCCAGGGTCGATCATTCCCTCCGTCTCCATCTCCTCATCGTCTGCAGGTCCATCGACAGAGCGACAGTGATTAAACTACTCAGTTCATTAGAGGAATGTTAATATCTGTTGGGGAGTGGGTCGGTAACTCACCGTGGAACAGAGCCTGTGGCGGCATGGCGTCGGGGATGAGGTCCGCCTCTGACAGCAGGCTGGGTGTCGCTGAATGAGATGCTGGCGTTCCCGGGGCGGAGAAGTCAGGTGAAGGTGACGGTGACGGACTGGTGAGCGGTGTTCGGTCTGAAGAGCTGAGGGAGGAGAAGTCTATGACCTCACCTTTCTCCAGGACAAGGTCAGGCCGGCGTCCAGTGCTGCCCCCGCGGCCTCCGCCCAGTTTGGCCGGCGTGGAGGAGGCGCTGCGATCGGTGTAGCCTCCCACCGCCTCCTTCTGAGCCCGCCGGATGTCTTTGGCCTCCTGTGTGCGGGAGCGTTTTTCCTTCAGCTGCATGGCGTTCTCCACCGGGTTCCTGGCCCCGCGCTTCCTCAGGCCCTCCACGGTGATGATCGGGTCCACGGCAGGCTTGGCGGCTGCGGGGGAACAGAACATCAGCTTTACCTGCAGGGGTCACCTGAAGCCTCTGAGGGCTCCTGGATGGATCCAGGTGGAGGTTACCTTTAGTCTTGGTAGTGGATTTGTCCACCTCAGGTCTCAGAGTTGGAGGTCGGTTCTGGACCAGCTTCCACCAGCCGGGCTCACCGAACTCCTGCGCTCCCGAGCGGAAGAAGGTGGGACTGCCGACGGACAGACAGCCCGCCACCGTGCTCCACCACGTCGACGTCTTCTTCCTGCACAGAGACATCGGTCAGCAAACAGGAAGTCAACGGCTGTGTGAGGGATCGGATCAATAACGCTCAACACGGCCGATACCGATCAATGAGTTCAGATCAGGATGTTCCTTCTGTATATTGATGATAAATGATGTTCAGTCTGCAGTCAGACCTCCACCAATGAAACAAACTGGACCTCGCCAGCGGAGGCCCGGCTGTAGACAACAATGAAACACAGCTGATTGTTATTATTATTGTTATTGTT